CCGCATCCTGTGCTCACGCTCATCCTTCCCACGTGGGCCTTAGAACTTTTGCTGTGTTGCTGTGTTTCTCTCAGTCGTGCATGGTGTTGTTTTGCACGTTGCATAACTGGGGCATATTATGGATAAGCATCCTTTTGTATCTTTTTATGTTTGGAAATTGAGGTCATCTGCCCTTGTGTCTGTAGTTCTGGTCTGTGCGTTTTCACTGCCAAAGGGTCATCGGTGGGTGGATATACCAGGGTTTTCTGTTCTCTCCTTGATGGACACTGGGTTGTTTTCAGTTTTTGCCTTTATACACAATGCTGCCGGATATGTTCTTGTGTTCTCTGTTCACTTTGGAATTTGGATTTAAAAAGATTATTCCAAGATCTGTGGCGGCCTCGGGTAAGCCGTCCTACCTGTGGGGCTCATGATCTCTGCTCCCACCCCAGCTTGTGTCCAGAGGGTCTGGACCAATCTGATGTCTGGTCTGGAACCAGAGCAGAGTGCTAACAGGCTGAGAAGTCTAAACCAGTGTTTCCCAAACTCTGTTCTCTCTGGGACCATTAATAGGTATTAAAGAGGCAAAGTGGTTCCCCCATCCAACAAGTTTAAGAAATAAAGAGTTTAAGCTTAAAAAAAGAACTCTGTAGAATATAATATTTAATATGCTGATAAATACTTGTGAACATCAAAAGAGGGACTGTGGAGGGTAGCAGTTGATGGATATATCTGTGGAAACCTTTCAGGATGGGAGCATCCTACAGGACAAATTTTCCTGCTTTCAGAAACGGGTCTAAATTGTTGGCTGTGGGTGGGGAAAGGGTGCATCTGCAGTGAAGAGAGGGGCGGTTTTTGTTTTTGTTTTGTGGGTGCTGGCAAGGAAAAAACTTTTCCTCTATCCTCTTAGGTTCAGGACTTGGGGGTCTGTAAATTAAACTGGTAGGAGCCCCCCCTCCAAATTAAACTGTCAAGAGCCATAGTAGTGAGAGAAAAGACAGCTTTAATCATATACATATGGGAGTTTACAGAAAAATGTGACTCAAAGGGGCAGTTAGAACTTGAAGCTTATATGGTATCACGGGAGGGGGAGAAGAGCACTTACTGGAAAACAAATGACGTTTTGGAAAGATAAGTGGCCCTTAGGAGAATAGATGGGAGGTAGATAGTTTTGTGAGTGTCTGTTTAGGTGTGGTGTGAAGACTTCTCATCTGTGATAAAGTCAGTCTTGCCTGGTTGCCCAGAGCAGGGGATTGATGACAATGGAGTCCTTCTGGGAAGTTCTGCTTTTAGACAGATAAGAGATTTCAGGAGCTCAAATGGCTTCTCAAAATCACTTTTATGCCACAGTGATGTACTCTGGACCCCTTCCTAGGTCTCCTTTTTTCTTGTTCTTTTCCAAGTCCCAGCCAGGCAGTGGGCAGCGGGCAGCCTGGAGACACTTAATGAAAAGCTTGAGCCTTGCCCATTGAATGGCCTTTTCTGGACAGTTGAAGGAGCTTTTTTTTTTTTTCCCCCAAAGATTTCTATTTATTTGACAGAGAGAGACACAGCAAGAGAGGGAACACAAGCAGGGGGGAGCGAGAGAGGGAGAAGCAGGCCTCCCGCGGAGCAGAGAGCCCGATGCGGGGCCCGATCCCAGGACCCTGGGACCACGACCTGAGCTGAAGGCAGACGCTTAACGACTGAGCCACCCAGGCGCGCCTTGAAGGAGCTTTTGATCCCCGACCCCCCAGCACCCCACTCATCCCATGCGTTCCTCTTGGGTACATTTGGCTCAGAATGCTCTTGCCGTAGATCCCGGGATCTCATCAGATCCCAGACGTGTGTATGTATCTATCAGTCCCACACGGTGTTTTTTTTTTTAAGATTTTATTTGAGAGAGAGAGAGAGAGCACAAGCCAGGGGAGGGGCAGAGGGAGAGGGAGAAGGAGAAGCAGGCTCCCTGTGGGGTCAGATCCCAGGACCCTGAGCCAAAGGCAGACTCTTCATCGACTGAGCCACCCAGGCGCCCCCACAAGGTGCTTTTCAACCCGGAATGTAATACACGGTAGAGTTCCCTAAGAAGTTTTTAAAAAATACGAACCCCTGGATTAGTGAAATCGGAATGGCCAGGGTGGGGCCCAGGCCTCTGTATTTCTTGGGAGTTCCCCAGTAGAATAGTAATGTGCTGCTAGGATTGAGAACCTGTTTCCAGAAGCCAGACACTGGGCTGTCAGAGCCTTGGGCCCCCCTCTAACTACCAAGTCCTGTGTTGTCTGACTCAGAATCCCACCATCTTAGCTGCTGGGCTTTTGGTTTTGGTCCTTGTTTCGGTGAAGCGAGGGCGAGGCCTCCGCACCGCACCTAAAGCCAACCTGGAGCGCCCCCACCTGGCGGTCCTCCCTCCTGACACCCCGGAGAGAGCACGCAGGAGACACCTCGGTGTTTATCAAACAGTCTTTGAAATCCGTGCAGGGTTCGGGGGTTGTTCTATGGCTGGGTGTCAGCGGGGAGCTCGCAGCCCCGGGGCTCGCGGGTTCCCGAGGGAGGGTGGGGTGGGTGGGGTGGGTGTGGTTGGAAGTGTGCCCGGGGCCTCTCTGATCCTCCTGAGTGGCCATCACGCCCGCGGGAGAACAGAGCTGGCTGCCGAGGAGGAGCACGATTTTCTAAAGTTAAGATATCATCACATAATTTCTAAGACACCCTGTTGACATGATAGCTCTTGAACAGGAGAAAGAAATGTGTATTAAGGTGCCCTGAAGGGGAAGAGGCAACCTGACAGTGGAGGTGGGAGGCCCACACTTCTTAGAAAGGAGGAAATGGGGCCTTCCTGCCTCGGTGCTCCACAAACCCGTATCTGCTGCCTAGGAGACCAGGAGGGGGTGAGTAAGTCCCTCTGGCAAGTGCTCCAGATCAGGGTGTGACTCCGGAAACACAGAAGGGTGGTCATGTTTGAGGGAGGGCGTCTGGAGGGCTCCCTGGAGGCGGTGACTTTTAACAGGGGTGGGGATTTTAGGGGTTTGGGAGACTGCAAGCCCTGGAGAAGACAGTGTGCTTTGAGAGGTGGCTGAGCTGGGCAGGCTGTCTCTGGGGTGACTCTGGGGACAGAGAGGAGACCCCCGTGTGCTGTGGGACAAGGAGAGGATAGTGCCCCGAGCAGCGCCTTTCCAGAAGGAGGGGCGGTTCATCTGTGTCACGTGGTGGCCCAGGCCAGCCTGGTGGAGCTGGATGTTGGCGCTGAGCGTTTTCTCAAGAGAGCGGTTTTAATAGTGAGATGGGCAGACGCCAGACAGCAGAGGTTAAGACGCGAGCACGTGGTGGGAAGATAGAACCACAGTGCAGACCAACTGTTAAGAGGTGGAGAGAACATCAACGGTTGGAGGACGTCGCTGGGCCCAAGGAGGGGGCTTGTTTTTGAGATTAGGAGCAGCCTGACTGTTGTCCTCGGTCAAGTTGCAAAGGAACCCGAGGAAAGATGTCAACCAGATATGACTGAACCACCAGCCCGCTAAGCATTGCTCTGTGGCAAGAGACTTTGCAGGTCCCCGCCCCCCAGGCTTGCCTGAACCCTCACTCTGGGGCCGTTGGGAGTCCCCCTAGGGACAGCAGGGCCGTGTGCGGGCTCCCCCCCCGGGGGGTGCGTGGCTGCACCTGCTGGCTGCCCACATTAGCGGTGCCCCACACTGCTGACCCGCCAGCCTTCCTCTGCCCTGTGTGCAGGCCAGCCCAGCGACCCGCCTGCAGAGCAAAGGGAAGGGTGTTTTTTCTTGGCCTTTGATGGCAAGTATCTGCTGCATCCCATGGGAGTTTGCCCAGGGTGGGTTGGAAAAGAGGTCGTGGGAGGGCTGAGTGTCGTGTTTACAACCAGGCTTCGGGCTTGGTAGGAGAAAGTGGGGGGCCTGGGCACTGGGGCGTGCGTGCCTGAATGTGTGTGAGAGGGGGAGGGGAGGGAGGATGCCATGTGACCACTTCCTTTCCCTTCTGCTGCTGCTGTGGGCCAGAGGGTGGGTCCTGGGCATCACGTGGGCGTCCCCGCATGGCGGGGTGGGTGACACCACCAGACTGTGCTTTTCTCCCAACTGGCCCATTTGGAGGTGGGAGCCTGCCCCAGCTGCCCCCCTGCAGCTTTCAGAGTAGGACCCTGCTGGAGGACAGCTGACCAGGGCTGCCACCTCCCTGATGACCATTCTGGTGGGGGTCCCCCAGGAAGGGCAGTGGGTGCTGCTCACAAGCAGGTGGAAATGGCCCACGGCAGGCCTCCTTGTCAGGCAGGGACACCATAGCACCCTCTCCCCTTCCCCACACGGCAGCTTCGTGTCCAGCGAAGGGGCCAGAGTTTCCCAGAAGTGACAGCCTTGGAAAATCCGACCTAGACCCCCCTCCAAAGGGCTGGGAGGGATCCTGTTCCTGCTTCTGGGCTGCCTTGGCCTGGAGCAAGTTTCCTTCTAGCTCTGAGTGTTTCTTTCCACATTTGTAGGAGGAAGCTCCTACCTTACTCCGGGTCAGGTCAGGATTGCAGGGCTGTGTAAGGGTCCTGGGGCCGCTGTGGCAGAGTAGCACAAATTACCGTAGCCTCACGCAACAGAAAAGCCTACTTTCCTACAGTTCTAGAAGCCCTGGGTCTGGGGTCAGGGTCACTGGGGTATGGCAAGGTGTGGGCAGGGCTGGTTCCTCCCGGAGGCCCCAAGGGAGAATCTGTCCTTGTGCCTCCTCCAGCTTCTGGTGGCTGCCGGTGGTCCTTGGCTTGTGGCCACGGCACCCCAGTCCCTGCCCCCATCGTCATGTGGTCACCTTCTCTGTAGTCTTCAACTTTCCCACAGGACACCTGTGACGAGATAGGGACCCCGGACATCGCAGGATGGTCTCTGCATCTCGAGTTCCTCCTGCCGTATCAGGGGACCTTCCCAGGCTCCAGGCAGGGGGTGTTGCTCCATCTCCCCCAGCACGCTTTGTCTTGGGGCCCTTGTGGTCTCCAGGTAGGAAACAACACAACAAACCAGCTCAAGAGAAAAAAGGATGCATTAGACTCTTTTTCTTATAAATATATTTTTTATGGTATCAAGTACCCAGAACATGAAATTTACCGTTAATAGCACTTAGCACATTCACAGGGTTGGGCAACATTACCATGATCTAGTTCCAGAACATTCCCATCCCCTCAAAAGGAAACCCTATGTCTACTAAGCGGTCAGTTCTCACCCCCCCTCCCACCCCGGTCTTGGCAACCCCCAATCTGCTTTCTGTCTTTATAGACTCTTTTCTAATCAGTGTGGCTGTGTGTGACTTTGAAGTCAGTAAACAGAGGCAGGACGAGCTGGTTATTGGAAGGACGTAAGGCGCAAGGAAGTCGACGTGTGGAATGCCTGGGCTCAGAAAGGGCAGGGTTTGCAAGAGCTCAGCCAGCCCATGCTCTCTTCTCCCTTGCTCCTTTCTTGGGGTCTCCGCCTGCGCTTCCCCCCTACTCTGCCCTCTCTCCCTTTGCAAATGGCCCCAGACAACTTCCCAGCCCTCAAGCTTCTACATGACCTCAAGCTTCTGGACCCTCGATCAGAAAAGGCTCCTTGGTCTGGGCTGCTGGGGGTGAGGGGGGCAGAACTCCAGCGGCCCAGCTCATCACCTGTTTGAGCCAGGCGTGAGGTCGGGCCGCTGGTCAGCCTGTGGTTGGCTGCCTTCGAGTCAGGAGTTCGCCCCGGCCTGAGCACCTGTGAACCAGATAGGATAGAGAACCCCAGAAACGGGTGGTGGTCTCACTGATGCTTAGCACAAATCTAGCAAAGTAACTTCTCTGGAGAAGTTCTGCTCTTTCTGATAGTAGAATCTGGGAGAAATGTCCCCAGCACATCCCAGAAGGGGGATGCTGTGATGTAGGGATCAGTGGCCTCAGCCATATAGGAGATGCTCCTGTGGGTTCCATGGAGCTGTATCCTGTAGCACCCCAACTGTGGCTGTGCATCCACCGCTGAGAACGAAGCATAGCGCTGAAACATTGTGGTCTGAATAAACAGCTCGCCAAGGACCTGGTGTACCCCCAGGGTGCAGTCGGGAACACCTGGACAGCTGTGCCCAGCATGGCAGCCACGGCAGCCAGCGATCGCTTAAAACGTGCTGCGACCAGCGGTGCCCGGCGGGCTCCCTTGGAAGAGCGTGCGACCCTTGATTTCGGGGTCGTGAGTTCGAGCCCCACAGGGGGTGCAGAAATTACTTAAATAAATAAAACCTTAAAAACGAGAAAAAAAGAAACGTGCCTAGTCCAAATCGGGAGGTGCCGTGAATGTACGATGCACACTGAATTTCAAAGACTTAGTACAGAAAGAAAAAAGAACGTAAAATATCTAAAGAGTTTCAGGGCGCCGTCGATGAAGTGTCTGCCTTCGGCTCAGGTCGTGATCCCGGGGTCCTGGGATCGAGCCCCCGTGTTGGGCTCCCTGCTCGGCGGGAAGTCCGCTTCTCCCTCTCCCTCTGCTGCTCCCCCTGCTTATGCTCTGTCTGTCTCTCTCTCTTTCTCCCTAAAATAGATTCTTTTAAAAAAAATTAAAAATAAAAAAAACAAGTTTTTATACGGATGACATGTTGAGTTGATAATATTTTGGCTGTATTAAGTAAAATATATTAAATGTCACCTGTTTCTTCTTATAAATGTGGCCACTGGAAACTTGAAAATGTGTGCTTCTGGTGCCTTGGGCCTTCTGTTTCTGCTGCGGGATTCGGTGGGCGGCTGTGAGGGCTTCAGGCTCTTCCTCTAGATGCTGTGTGTGCTGAGCGGTCGAGAACTTTGAGCAGGCCCCAGAGTGGGGGAAGGGCTTCTGCGTTGGAAAAGCGCCCCCCCGGGCTGGGGGTCTTGTCAGGCGCAGGGAGTCCCTCTCCTGTGCCCTTGGAGACCCCCATCCGGAGGGCGGTGAGCAGGGAACGTGTGGAAAGCACCCAGGCCACCTCCAGGGCCAGCGGCCTGCAGGGGTGTAGGGGGAGGAGGAAGGTAGCGCAGGGAGTGGCCTCGGGGAGCTGGCGGTTGCCCACGTGGTGCCCAGGAAGGGGTGGTGGGCCCTGGGGGACAAGGCTAGGTGAGAGGCAGGGAAGGAGGTTCCAAGGGGAGCGCTGGGAAGGAAGGGCCCTGTCCACAGGACAGGTGTAGAGTGGAGATGGCATCTCCAAGGTTCCGTGTCAGCCTTGACACCCGGCATGGCAGGAGTCCCTCCTGGTGTCGTTTGGTGATGGTTGCTGGAGCTGTCCTTCAGGGCCCAGCGACAAGGGCCCAGCAGGTTGGGCAGGGGGTGGCTGGAGGGGCGCGGCCCTCCCTATTCCCTGTCCTAGGAAACCACCTTCTTGGAGGAAAGAGAAGCGTCAATTTTGAGTGGCCAGTCTTCCTCCTTCCGGACGTCATGTCCGTCATGTCTTGTCTTAGTTCTTGCGACTAGAGGTGATCATGTCCATTTCACAGGTGGGGAAGGTCAGGTCCCACAGGGTTGGGTAATGAGCCAAGGCTGATTTGAATGAGGGGGGCCTTGATTCTAGGGTGTGTCTCTGAGGCCCTCACTGTCCTCCCTCCCACTGGGATGGGAACAAGGACTCTGGACGCCCAGTCCCTCCCCTGACGCTCCCTGTGTTTGGCCCGGGGGCCCAGAGACCCACGGCAGCGCCTCTACACTCTGTGCAGGGTGGGGAAGGGAGCAGGAGGGCAGCCCCCTGACCATTATGGCAAACTGGGAGACTTGGGAGGCCGCGGGGAGGAAATTGGCCTCTGGAGTGCGGAGTGGCCAGGTTGGCCCCGCCAGTGGCTGCTACTAGGGAGAGCTGGCTTCTGAGGAACTGGAAGGTGGACCAACTGGACGTGGTCAGTCTGCCAGTGTGGCCAGTGGGGTGGGTGCTTGGGGCCTCACCCACCAGCCATGTGGGGGGGGTGTGGGCATGGGGAAGGAGAGCATGCCTCGGAGCGGGGCCTGGGCCAGAGCCACTCCTCCAGGGAGTGGGAGGACGGATGGCCCTAGGACGGCCTGCTCAGGTGTCACTCAGGGCTCCTTTGCACTTGAACTTCCTCGCTCCCGGCCTCTGCAAATTCCCAAAACCAGCGGGAGCTCTCTCCTAGTCGGGAGTAGGCCTGGGGCTGCCTTGGCCACGCCTGTGCCTGGGAGTGACTCATCAGGGTCAGAGGTCGTGGCACAGGATGGGTCTGGCAGATCCCAGCGCCCAGGCCCAGCCCCAAACAGCGTGGCTCCCAAGCTCCTCCCTCTGGGGACCACCTAGCCCATCCCCCTCAGGGTCCCAGCGCTTCACCGGGGTCTGCAGGGAGGGTGACTCATCGCCCGGGGCCCTGAGGGCTGTAGGAGCGGCCGCCCGAATCGGAGTCCTTAGGCTCCTGGAAGAAGAAGGAGCTCAGGGTGAGCTGGCACCACCCCCACCTCCCTAGCCCTCACCCCAGTCCCCCTTCTGCTGCTTCTCCCTTGGGGGTGTTTCCGCCACAGTAGCCTTAGGCAGTGGACGGCACACAGGGCTGGCTGCGCTCCGGCCCCCGACGCCCGGACTCCGGGACAACCCCGGCTTTGGTTCTTCACGGCTTTCCTGGGGAGGTCTGCCGACCCGGGGGGCGGCCTGCCCGCTGGGCTGGGCGTGTCATCTGAGCTGGCCGGGGTCAGGGCCCATTTGGGGCTCACCTGGCAGAGGGGGGAGTGCTGGGCGGGGCGGCAGGGGGAGAGGGCGCCCCCGGGCAGCGCCAGATTCCCGGCACCAGCCTGCACTCCCGTCCCGCCTCACCCAGGCAGGAGGACAGTCTGGGGGGAGGGGACTGGAGGCTTTGCTGGCGCACTGACTTCTGGCCAGGGCAGTTGGACCGGGCGTCCGGGTGAGAGCCTCCTTCCCTCTCTGCTTCCCGGAGCTCTTTCCCGGGGCCCGGGGCGCTTTCCTTTTGGGGGTGACTCTGAAGCCGGCTGGGGAGCTTGGCGCTTCTCATGCCCGGGATGCACCCTGCACACCCCGGTTGGTTTCAGGCCTTCAGCCGGGCGCCCCTGGTCTCCTCCGCGGCCTCCCCTCCACTCCCCTCGCCCTGCCCCCGAGCCTCCGTTCTCAGGCGGTCCCTCCTACCTCTGCCCGCGCTCTGGGAGGCTCCTTGTTCCGCGGCCACAAAGCCCCTTTGATCCTCTGCTCGGCTCGGAGCCATGTGACCTGGTGGGCGGGCCGCGCTCTCTGCCGGCGGCCGGCTCAGCCCGACTCAGCTGCTGGGGTGAGTCCTCCGCTCCCTTTGTTCCTTGCAGCCTCGCACCGGTGGCGGGGGCCCTCAGGTGGTGCGGCCGCCCGGTGGCCCTCCGAGGGCGCGGCGGCGGGGCGGGAACGGCGCCTCCCCGGGGCGACCCCCTGGGCCCGGCCCCCCCTGCCGGCAGGACAGCCCCGGGTCCCCGGGAGAGGGGCGGCGGGAGCTCGGTCTCCACGCGGGGCCCAGATTTTCGGCCGTGGAGCAGAAGAAAAGGGCTTTGTGCGGCCACAGCGATCTCTTTGTAAATATTTGGCCAGCTAGGCTGAGTGGTTAGGTCCTCCTGGGCGGGGAGTTTCTTGGAGCCTGTTTCCCTTTCGCAAGGGGCTTCCCTGACTTCTAGGAGGCCGGGCGGGGGCGGGGGGGACTCGGATTGGCCGCCGTGTGTCTTAAAACCGTTCCGCACCGATTGTCAGCCGTTGGGCCCGGCGGCCCAGAGGCCGGGCCGGAGATGGGGTTCAGCAGACGCTAGAAATGCGGGATCCGACATGCTATTGTGCGCCAGGGAGTCGGCTGCAGCTCGTCTCTGGGTTCCGGGGAGCTGTGGGGAGGTGCGGCTTGTTCCCGGAGCGGGCAGGGGCCGGAATGCGTGCGCCGTGCCGGACGAGTGGGACGGTCCACTGCTCCGGGTCAAGGAGCAGGGGCGAGGAAGCAGCTCCATGGGGACCTGCCATCGAAAGGGCCTTCCAGCTGAGGCTCTGGGAAACCCCCCAGACTCAAATCCCACGGCCGGCCCAGCGCGTGCGCCAATGCTGGGAGGGCTGAGGGGCTTCAGAGCCAATGCCATTTGCTCCTGAAACTTCATCCCACATGCCCCCACCCGCCCAGGATCCCTCCATCCTGGTCCCCCTCCGTTTCCTCTCTGCCAGGAAATCTGCCGGGCTTTTGTCAGAGGTTTGGGGGAGCATCTCTCCTCACCCAAGAGCAGTTTGAAACTCCTTTCCTGGAGAAAAATGTGCCGTCCAGTCCGTGGGTTTCTGGCTGTAGGGACAGCACCCCAGTAGGAATTTGGTTTGGATCCGTCATGGAAAATCCTGTTCGGGGACAAGGGAGAAAAAGCCCCCATTGTCGTATAATCCCTTCGATTCCCTTACAATTTACATGTGGGTTTCCCATTTCATTCATGTTGATTTGCCTCCATGGGTGTTTACATAAATGTCATTTCTCTTTGGCTGGCTCCCCGTGGCAACCCAGGGGGCCCCTTTTCAGGAAATAGGAAGAAGAATGAGTTTGTTTAACCATTTGGGGCCGGAGGGCCAGTGTCTCCTTGAGACCTCTTTGATAGGGTAGGGTTCTTGCTTCTCTCCTTTGGGTCACCTTTGGGCTAAGGTGTGACTGCGGAAGGAGACCTCTTCCGTGGCTGACCCCTCCCAGGCATCCCCCCCACGGTCCCCGATCATTTCCGTGTTGTGCCCCCTGCAACACTATTGTGTCCACTGGTGTGTGTGTGTGTGTATTTCCACCAGACTGTTCCATGTGCCTGGCACAGCGTCAGGGATGACGGCCAGGTCGCCGGTGTGTGGGGAGGGGCCTGCTCTGTGTGGGGCACTTTGGGCTCCAGGACCCAGGAGATGGCACCCTTCTTGATGGGAAGGAGGCAGTCACAAGGCCCCAGCCACCCAAGCCAAAGACAGGCCTGGTTGGGGCCCGTGGGGTCATTCCCTGAGTGCCTGGCCCACTGCCCCAAGCCTGGAGCACGGGGTTCACAGGGGCTTTCACCCCAGAAGCCCTGTATCCGCTTGGGCGACCAGAGTCTTTGGGCTGACTTCCCTCCCCCCCCTTCCCCACCTCCCTGGCCACAGACCCTCCCCACTTCCTGTTATGTCACTGCCTGAGCTGCCCTTGTCATTCTCAGATAGGACAGAAGCATTCCCTAGGGGCATTCACAGAGGGGAAGACCCCATCCTTAAGAGAGCGCCCCCAGCAGCCTCCAGCCGTGCCCAGCTTCCTGTGTTGTCAGAGATCTCCGTGCTTTCTTAGGAAGCTGTTGGTTGACTGGCCGAGCTTCCATTATCCCATGCCCCCTGCGCCACGAACTCTTGGGCCGGCTTTTCCGTACCACCCGAGGGTTCTGGGTGCCCTCCTACTCTTCTTGGCCAAGTGCACAGGAAGAATGACTTTATTTCAGGGCCCGTGATCTCGGGGGAGCCCTCCCTGCTCCCTACTCCCCACAGCCGGGCTCTTGGGGAAGATGGTTCCAGCACAAATCACAGCCCTTGGCCGACACTCCATTCCCAGACTTCTGCCTTCCATTGACAAGCTTTGATTTGTTTATTGAGCGTCAGCCTGGTTCCTTGGACAGGTAGGGGCCTGTTCTCAGGAGCTCGGTAGAGTCTTACGAGGCCTGCCCAGGACCGCTCCTGAGGGTGGTGGGCCGTGCAGTTACCTGCGTAGGCGAGCCTGATCTTGGAGGAGCAGGCGGGAAGGCAGGGGAGGCCCACGACTAATTATAGGCCCTCCAGCCCGCCCACCTCCCAGTGGGCTCATTGGGAGCCTTGTTCCACGGTTGGTGGAGGGGTGGGTGGCAATATCTCGCCCGTTGTGGCTCGGCCCTGGGCCGTGGGTACGGGAGTGGGGTCCAGGTGCTCCCCTCATCTCTTTCTCTGTGACCACCTCTGGGAAGCACCGGGCCTCCAGGCCTGAGGGGCAGAAGAACAGGCCTGCGAGGCCCAGGGGTTCCAAGTTCTGATTCTGACTTTGTGCAGGGGTCTGAGCTGCCACTTGCCGTCTGGGCGGGCCATTCCCACAGTCAGAGCAGAGTTACTGCTCAGCCCTTGGGAGCTGGTTTCTGCGAGGAGGGCCTGGGCCTTGGTTAGGGGGCAGCAGCCTCGCGCAGAGGGTCTGCAAGGTGAGGGCGAACCTGTCAGCTCGCTCCCCTCGTCCTGGCTGTTCCAACCTCGATTGAGTTTTCAACGTTTTGGTTTGGGTTCAGTAGCTGGATCATGGCAGAAGCACCTCCAAATTTCTTGTCCCTCTCCTGAAGCTGGGGGTGAGGGGACAGCCTCTGAGATGTTGGCTCCTGAGCACCCAAGGCTGTACTTGGAACCCCAGCTCTGGGTTGGGGGGAGTCACCGACACTGACCCCCACTTGGCCTTGGGGAAGGAGGCTCTCTCGTGCTGCTGTGGAGCTCCTTGCTGTGCCCCCAGAGGCCTGCCAGCCCCGGCCCTGTCCTGTGAGTGCCAGGCACCGAATGCCTGGTCATCTGGATGGTCATCGGAAGAGTGCCCTTGCTTCTGTCCCTGGTGGAATGTGCACAGACCTCCCCCTGCTTCCCAGGCCCAGTTCTAGGTGCCTGTCACCAGGCCTCCGACAGCAGATAAGATTTTCCTAGCCCAGAGCAGGATGGTGAATTCACCCTCCTGCGTGGAGGACCCCCGCCCCCCAAATCGGGTGGGGAAGTTTGTGTCCTGTCTTTCGCTAGACTGTGGACTTGGTAGAGATGGCGTTTCATCGATCTCGGTCTCCGGGTCCCGGACCTCACAGGAGCTTGCTCAATTCATGTTTGAATGAATGCACTCTGGTCAGCGTGGTGTGTGACTCCAGCTTTTCATCTTCTGTCCAAATACACTGTGGTTTCTGTACAACTAGCTCGAGAGCCTTAACGAGAGCAGCCGTGGGTCCTGCTGTCTTTAACGCAGGCTCTTCTTGGAGTGTTTTCTTCAGGATCTGAATGCATTCTCCCCGGGGCAGGGGACTGGACCAGATGACCCTGGCCCTGCTCCGTGCCCCGGTTCTGGAGAAGTAGGGGACCAAGGAAAGGATCCATGCCGCCCCCCCATCGCTGGCTGTCCACTGTGGGCCCCAAAGACTAAAGCTAGCGACAGCGGCCCCACTGAGTCGGAGGGGAATGGCTGCTGGTTGTGGCTGGAGGGCCACAGGTGGGCAGCTTGGCGGAGCAGTGGAGGGAGGTGGCACATCCGTGGCGGGGCCTCGTGTCCTGCCAGGAATTCTCTGCCTCTTGGCCTCACTCACCTGCGCTGGCCTAGCCCTGCGGACAACGACCACGGAGTGGAGGGAGGCTGTGGTCGTTTTGCAGACCACACGCTCTGCTGATGCAGGGCTGGTACCCACCGCTCCGGAGCATGGCTGTCGGTCTGCTGGGGCCGGTCCTTGTGGCCGGCGCCGTCCTGCTGACCACAGTCTGCTCTGGGCCTGGTGCCCGGGGCCCTCAGTCTTCATCTTGGGGAGTTTAAGTAACGAGGCTGCCTGGTTCCCTACCTGGAAACTGAGGCAAAACAGTGAAGTCATCCCCAAAGTGTTTTTAGGTGGGTGAGAAAGTTTCTTCCAAGACAATAAGTAAGGTCACTTAATAGGAATGAGTTTATTACAGAAGAAATGAGCTTTAAGCTGACCCCTGGAACCACCCCGCCCCAAGGCTGGTTTGCTCTGAATGCAGGCGCCTCCTCCCGGCCCTCCTGCAGCCTCTTCTCCCCAGAGCCCACCCGGTTCCCCCCAACCAAGGCCCAGGCCCTCCTCGCAGAAACCATGCCATCTCCTCTGCGGGAGGGGGCCGTGCAGCCGAACGGTGACCAGCGAGGACTGTGCGGGCGCCTCCCGGTCAGTCTTCCTGCACACCAGGGATGTTACAGCTCATGTCACAAACCCATTCTCCCCACCTCGTAGGCAGACGTCAGGGCGCAGGCCTGGGAAGCAGGTCGCTCGGCCCCATGGGTTCAGCGACTTGCCTGCTGAGGCCAAATTGTGGCAGTGGAGCCGGGACCCCCTTCCCATGCGTCCCCTACTCAGGTTTAGTGTGAGTCCCTCCTAGCCCCCCGCTTAGGGCCCCAGTGGGCTAAGGACCCTTGGAGGCCAGATCCAAGAGAACGCAGCCCCTCGGATGAGGCCTGCTGTTCCAGCGAAGGAGGCGGTGACTCCAGGTGGGAGGCGGGAAGTTGGGGAACAGTGGGGAGCCCGGTTTGGCTGTAGCAGACGAGGGGAGAGTAGGATGGAGTGAGGTGGCCGGAAGACCCTC